TTATTCAACGTTGAAGCAAAAATAATCCTTTTTGCTTCAACGTTGAATAACTCGGTGAAAAAAAATTGTACGACGCTCAACAAAAAAGCAAATTAAAGAGAAAGATTCTTTTCTTCAAAAACTGTACATCGCGTTTGTGTGCAATTTTTATTTCGGGCCATGGAGCTTTGCAAAGTTAGAAAAAAATTTTGCGATTTGTCACATCTGTATTTGTATCAATGCAATTCCGAAGAAAGTCGGTTAATCGTTTTCTAAAAGACCAACTTAAAAAGTGGAGATTTCAAGCTGTAAAATGGTTTTTTATAAAAATCTCGTTACGATCATTTTTGACGAAGTTGCTCTATCTTGAAATTTGCCTATTTTATTTGAAAGGATAGAACAGGTGATCCTTTAATTTTTTGGACAATATATGGTGTATATATATGTATGTTTATGCATACATATTTAAATTGTAAGATTCACACTAATATTATATAGAAGCACTAAGATCCGCTTTGCACCGTGTTGGCGTTTTAAGATCTCATTTGTTAGTTAACTTTTCACGGTTTTTCCTGATACTCATAATTTAAATAACTATTCAGTTGTAAATATATACATATATGTTTATTAAGTATCACCGGTAAATATTTTATTAACACAGATATGTAGAATATAAATATCTAATAAATATCTTTGGTAGTTGTTTAATGAACATGAATGTATAGATAATTATTAGATATCTACTAGTTATCTATAATGGATATGAATAGTGTATAGATATGTGAATATTAAGTAGATAACTATTATATGTTCTGTGTAGGGATATATGTTACCAGTATTAAGTTCATAGTTTATGTTATGTACACATAATATAAATTTTCAGTATTAGCAGTATATATCAAAACACAACAAGAATTTATTAATTAAAAGAGTGTTTGCTTTTTGCCATCCACGTTAATATCAGATTATTTAATACAGATTTCTACGCAAGATTGGTTTTCTATGTTAAACGGACAGTTTTTAATGCTAACTCTGATAATCGGTCGATGGATGTTACCAAAAGGTGATTTGACTCGAGATCAGTTAAGCCAGCTGTTGTTAGCCTACATTGGTGCTGTAGCTGATATTGTCGAATTCGTGGATTCCTTTGATGAAGACAAGATAATAGAGAATCCAGTAATTATTAACTGGATTTTAGGCGTTTGGACATGGTGCTTGATACAATTCACAATTGTGCTGACTGACACCAAATCAGAGACTCTCCAATCGACCGGCATCGTCAAGGAAAAAATCCAAACGAAAACTAGTTGCTGTAGCATCGAAGTATGGGGAATCATTTTGAACATAATTCTTCAAGTATGTTTAAGAATGTTATAAAATATATCTTTAGCCCAGTCAAACTAGATTTTAGTAAGGAAATAATTGCTGAAAAGCTGAATTTTTGTATATAGGCTTATAATAGCGTACTTTTTAACATATCAAAAGTCCCCATGCGTGGGCGCATAGCCGTCTGCGCCATTTTGAAAAAATGTCGGATAAAATCAGTTTTTGCTAATATCTCAGAAACTATTCATTGTACGGAAATTAACGTTCAGATAAAAAATAAAGCCAATAAAATTCCACACAATTTGCTTTTTTAATGAACTTCGTACGATCAATAGTTCCCGAGATAGATTTTTTTAAAGGATCTCTTGTTTTTGAACGTTATGCAAATTTATTTTTTTTAGGCGCATTTTTCGTGAATATCTCTGGTTGCAACTACGTACAAAACGTATGGAATGAAATCGATAGAGTATTTAATTATCTATAAAATCGTTTTTTTTTAATGTCGTGCGACCGATATTTCCGGAGATATCAGACATTTTGATTTGCGGACATTACGAGAATGAGCATTTCCTCGCAAATATGTCGAAATTATCTTGTATACGGCTACTTCTACGCTAAAAATAGTTCTTATTAAAATGAAAGGTTATTAAATTCTCTGCATTTTGGTTTTTTGTTTATTTGTATATGGGTAATATTTACGGAGATAAAGCTGAAAAACGTTTATTATATGTGTTTCT